AGAGGAAAGAGGTCAGGTGGCTAGGGGAGGACTCAGAGGCCTCCTGCAGGGCCAAGCACTGCAGAAAGGGCTGAGCTGGAGGTTGGCAGGGCTGCTCCAGGCAGGTCAGAGCAGGGCAGGGGGAGGAGAGGAGAAAGGGAGGAAGCTGGGCTGTGTGGTCTCCATAGAGGCATTCAGAGTCTACCTGCAGACAGCGGGAGCCCCAGGAAGGTCTGCACAACTGTACCCCAAGCGCCTCGGCCTCCTCTCAGCTTGCTGAGGAGGCACACTAGAGCCGCCTTCCTGACGGGAGCACTCTGTCCCATAAGGAGCGGGGAGCCAGGCTTGCTGGGGCCCCACCTGCACACACAGCCTTACCCTGCATTCTCATAGCACAGATGAGGTTGAGACCGTGCAGTTGATGCATTGCTTAAGGTCTCTTACAAAAAAAACCACCTTAAACATAGTCACTGTCATTCAGACATTCAGAGAATGGTTGGCCACCAACAATGACCAAATATTGCTTGGCTTAACTTGAAGGCCTGCTGTCTCCTTCTGGGGGTCAGCATCCAGAGTCCCGGTGCCCTCTCAGCACAGGCCCAGTCAGACACAGGGACGCAGCTCCACCCTCACCACCAGCCCACCCTGCCTGTGGGCATAACCTTGACGAAGGGAGAGAATGATTGGCATCTGCTTTTCTCTTTTCTTTGCTAATAATTATGTTCCTGGCTGCCAAGAGTAGAGTTTCACCCTGTGGAGGTTCGGCTCATATCACCTGGTGGTCTGATTCATACCTTAGCCTGAGGCTCCACCAGAAGATCTTGCAGCCTCAGTGTATGGGAAACCCTTTCCCCAGGCTTGTGCCAGTGCCACCGCTCCCCACCCCTGAGCCAGGACCCCAGAGGATGGCCATGCCCCATGCCTGGCAGAGGTCTGGTGCCAGCACTGGGAGCTGCTCTGTCCTTGCTTTGGGGCCGAGGGAGCCCTCATCCACCCCCGCACAGCAGCTGGGCACAGAGGAGCGCTCTTCCATCTTGACCAGGACTGCACCGAGAAGCACCAGGTGTCTTCAGCCTCCAGCCTCCTGGGCGACCTTCTCTTCCAGCCACAGTCCCATGAGGGCCCCTAGCCAGGGACTTGTCTGTAAATCGTAATCCTTTCTCCAGCCCGGCTCTCCACTTGCTCCTTGTGTGAGCTGAGCAGGCGGTGCACCTCTGAGTGTCCCTTTTGTAAGGCCCCGGGGTTGCACTGAGTCTGCAGAGGCTGTGACCTCCTGGAACGCTGTGGGTGCAGGTGAGCCAGCATGTCCTAGGGAGATATTGCCAGCACACGGGGCCCTCCCGCCGCCAGCACCAGCGGGGTGGAGTGGTTCAGTGTTATTAGTGTCTATTATTAAAATTAAGTGGGCTGAAAAAGAATGGAGCTCCAGATACCAGCACTGTATATGAAATACAAAAGCTGGGGAAGTGGGGCCTGCCTTACAGGTGTGGCTGACTCTGAGCCCAGGCCTGCAGGGGTGGGGGCGGTCCCTCAGAATCCCAGAGGCAGCCCCAACCTCAGAACCCAGGATAGGAAATGGGTGTGTTTGGTGGGGAAAGGGACAGGGTGTGGATGGCAGGGCCAGCATGCAGCCCCCTCCCTCTCCCCTCCTCTCCCGTGGTGAGCCCAGCATGGGCACCGGGCCACCTCAGCCGTGTTCCCGGGGCTGGGAGGACAGCTCTGGCCCTTCCTAGGCCTAGCCTCACCCCAAGCTAAATGTAACCCAGTTGGACTCTGTTAAAGGAAGCAGTGTTTTGGGTTCGATTCTGCCTCTGTAGCTCAAAGGGGGCGGCCCCCAGAGTCCTGTGCGTTCTGCCAAAAGCTATGCCAAGTCCATAGCTTTGCCAAATGCACGGAGCTCTGCCATTCCAGTGTGGTGCAGGCCTTGCCAAGGGTTTATCTGCATGCGTCTCGGTGGGCTTGTCCTGCATGGGAGTTGTGTTCCTGTGCAAGGGGTAGCCTTGCTCCAGGACAGGATGACTGTCTTCCCTGTTCTTAGGGACAAGTCCCAAGATGCCAGAAAGGCAGTCTCCCAAGGGCCCACCATGCAGAAGTGTCAATAAACCACGAGTTCTGAACTCTGTCGCCCGAGTCCTGCCTTCTTCCTGGCTTCTGAGCATCTTGTCCCCTTTGATGTCCAGGATGTGTTTGGAAGCTGCTTTAATATTGGGGACCATCTGCAAGTCTTGTGAAGCAAGCAGACAAATTCTGGAGAGAGCCCTGGTGGCCTGCACCCCCCTGGTCTGGCCGGCAGCCTTATTTTCCTCCCTGAGGGGCTCTGAGCCCATCCCACCATCAGCAGGAAGGTGACAAACAGGAAAGGGATTAAGCCCCTGGACATCACATTGGGGAGCCACAGGAGCATTGAGGACCCTCATTTTATCCAGGAGCCTGATGTGCCCCAGGTGGTTCCATCCTGAGGATGGAGACCCTCTGACATGAGGCTCTTGAGACCCACCATTTATACCCTCCTGGCACCTCCTGAGGCCAGGTGCAGTGGTGCACACCTGTAATCCCAGCACTTTGGGAGGCTGAGGTAGGAGGATCTCTTGAGCTCAGGAGTTTGAGACCAGCCTGGGCTACATAGGCAGTCCCCCATCTCTACAAATAATCAAAAAATTCTCTTGATTGAGAAAGGAACCAAATATCAAAAGGCAGTGAAGAATTGGGGACTCTGAGAAGGGCGACTTTCCAAGGCTTGGACCCCTTAGAAGCCTTGCAGCCTAGGGGCACTTGACCCCTGTGTGATAAGCCGAATCCTCTTTGTCTTAGGGGTGACTTGGTGGCTGGCTCATGGGCACAAGCCTGTAGTCCCAGCTACTTAGGAGACTGAGGCAGGAGGATTGCTTAAGTTTGAGGAGCTTGAGGCTGCAGTGAGCTAGGATTGCACCACTGCACTCCATCCTGGGTGACAGAGCGAGACCCTGTCTCAAAGAACAAAGCGCTGAGCCTTTCTTCTGCCCGACCCCGCTCCCACCACGCCACTCCCCAATCCTCGAAGCCTGCGTGGCACTTGTCCCACATGGGAGCTCGGCTGCTGCCCAGAAGCAAGTCCACTGCAGGTTCACTGCTGGTGCTTCCCAAGGGTCAGGATTACAGGGGGTTCTTTTTTCCTCCCTGCTTTAGGTTTTCTTCTAAATCCTAATTTTTTTTTTTTTTTTTTTTTTTGAGACGGAGTCTCCCTCTGTCACCCAGGCTGGAGTGCAGTGGCCGGATCTCAGCTCACTGCAAGCTCCGCCTCCCGGGTTCACGCCATTCTCCTGCCTCAGCCTCCTGAGTAGTTGGGACTACAGGCGCCTGCCACCTCGCCCGGCTAGATTTTTGTTTTTTTTTTAAGTAGAGACGGGGTTTCACCGTGTTAGCCAGGATGGTCTCGATCTCCTGACCTCGTGATCCGCCCGTCTCGGCCTCCCAAAGTGCTGGGATTACAGACTTGAGCCACTGCGCCTGGCCTAAATCCTAATTTTTTTAGTACAGTAAACATGCTTTAAAAATGCTTTTATGTAATCTGTCATGGGAATTTTAAGGAAAAAATTAAAATAAAAATCCCTTAACAAAAGACCTGGAGAGATCCACCAGCAGTTGGGGTGGGCAGTGCTAAGCCCTGAGGTCCTGGTAGAGAACAGGAATGGCCTTGGTGGCTGCACTAGGTGGAGGAGTGAGCCTGAGGGGGTGGGGGGCAGTGCTTCAGTGGTGGGCAAGCCTCACTGTTCCTGGTGAAAGGGACTGGCCCCTGATGGCTGCTTGGACAGATACCGGGAACCCACCTCAGGACCACCACATCTGATGGAGTTTAGGGAACCCCCAACAAGGCCTGCCCACCTGCCTCCCTTTGCTCTAGACCTGTGGCCCCCAACCACAACCTCCAGTCCAGACCTCTGTAGCCTCACCCACCCAAGGGCGGCCGGCAGCAGAGTGCAGGGCCTTGGCCCGAGCACTGCTGCTGGTCGCTTAGCAGACTGCAGCACTGGTTCCCCCTGAACCCACAGGATGGCACCCCCGGGCCCAGTCCCATGTGGCTGCAGCTCCTAGCACACATGAAACTGCTCTTGGAGACAACTTCAGAGCCTTCTCAGTGCCCTCAGGGGGTCAGTATTGAAACAGCCAGTCGTGGGACTCCGTCGTCCAGTCCTTCAGCGCTTGTTGGCCAAGTGTTTGCCACGCTGCTGCAGGTGCTGGGACAAGGGATGACGAAGCAGCCCACGAGCCAGCCACCATGTCACTACCTAAGACAGAGGATTCGGCTTATCACACAGGGGTCAAGTGCCCCAGGCCGCGAAGCTGCTAAGGGGTCCAAGGTTTGGAAAGTCACCCTTCTCAGAGTCCCCAGTTCTTCACTGCCTTTTGATCTTTGGTTCCTTTCTCAATCAAGAGAAAGCAAGGCAGCAGGGGCTGGGAGACTCGCCCTTGTGCTCCTGGCTGAGCTCAGGCTTCAAGGGCACACAGAAAACATCAAAAATGCCTCCCCACAGACACTGCCCAGCCACAGCCCAAAGTGCTGCCCTGAACTTCTCCCTAAAATGTGGAGGGAGGCCCTCGTGCTTGTGGGCGCGTGGGAGCAGCTGGCCCAGAGCTGTCTGAACCCAGTGCCTTCCCCACTCCTGCTTTGCCTGCAGGCCTCCTCTCTCCTGTCTGTAGCCTTGTCTGTGCATTTTCTCCTAGTCCTTCCCAAGCCACCTGGGAGAGCTCTCAGTCCCCTCCCCCTGCTCCCCGCAGTGCCTGCTGTCCAGGGCTGCAGCCTACAACTCTCCAGGACCAGCGCCAGAAAGGCAGCTTTTTTTTTTTTTTTTTTTTTTTTTTTTTTTTTTTTGAGAGGAGTCTCGCTCTGTTGCCAGCCTGGAGTGCAGTGGCGCGATCTTGGCTCACTACAACCTCCGCCTCCCAGGTTCAAGCAATTTCCCTGCTTCAGCCTCCCGAGTAGCTGGGACTACGGGTTTGTACCACCACGCCCAGCTAATTTTTGTGTAGAGATGGGGTTTCACCATGTTGGCCAGGATGGTCTTGATTTCTTGACCTTGTGATCCACCTGCCTCAGCCTCCCAAAGTGCTGGGATTATAGGCGTGAGCCACCACGCCCGGCCAAAAGAAAGCTTTATGTGTCCATTGTGTCACAGAGAGGGCATCCTTCGGGAAGCAGGGGAACTAGCCCCAGATGCAAGAGCTGGGACCAGGCCCTGGGCCCCCCACCGCACCTATTCAATCATCCATGTCCTCCTCTCCCCACCCCTGTTCCTCTGAAACTCCCAGCAGGATCTCCTTCCTAAATACCTCCTGTCTTGACTGTTCCCTAGTGAACCGGCTTATGTGTCTGAAACTCGTCTTCACAGCCAGATGGTGGCTGGGTGCTCTCCCTCTGCCCCTCACTTTCACAGAGCTTGGATCCCGGAGAGCACCCTCTCTCAGGACCGCTGGGTGGAGGTGAGGGAGGCCCAAGGGACGGAGGGTGCACAGGCAGGCAGAGGGGCTGGAGCTGCCTGGCACCTACAGGGGGTTCACCCTTCACCCATGGGAGCAGGCCACAGTGTGGCAGGTGGGGGTGGGGCTGGAGGTGAAAGGGGTGTGAGCCAGCCCCTCAGTCAGGAGGGGGAAAAACCTGGAGCTAAGTCCAGCACAGATAGCTAAGGCCATGGAGTCTGCCTGGGGGAAGGGGTGGGGAGCCGGGACGTTGGGACTGGGCCTCAAACCCACCAAGTGGGGGCTTCAGCTGGTGGAAGGGAGCCCAAAACCAAGGTCTCCCGGGCAAGAGGTGATGTGAGGCTGAGCCGGGGAAACAGGCAAGAATCCTGGCTGGGAGGGCTGATGCCCGGCCTGCCCCAGAGTTCCCTCAGAAGGTCCCAGGATCCCAGCTGCCTTCTGGTCCTGCAGATCCTTCCTGTTCTCACCTGGCTGGTCTTGGGTGGAGCCAGGCTCTGAACCAGTTGAGGACAGGACCTCAGCTGGTGTGCTCCATACGCAAAACTGTCTTGAATCTGCTTCCTGGGACTTGGACTTCGGCGTTCTGGACATCTGGACCTCCCACAGCCAAGCAGTGGGCACAAGCCCTTAAGAGCCAGTCCTGAGGATTTGTCCTACCCCCATAGAGGGTCCTGGCCAGGTGTGTTCGCTCCAGGAGCAGCGCAGGGGGCCATGGTGGCACCAGAGCCCCATCACAGGTAGGCCTCTCCTTGGACCACTGTCCTAGGCAGTCACTCTGGCCATAGTCAGGGGACCTCTTCCTCAGACACTGCCCAGCCCCAGGAGGCTCAAAAGGCCCGCCTCTGGGATCCACTTCCTCCCTCTTCCCAGACCTTATCTACAAAAGGAATGCCAGCTCACTTCTACTCAGATTTTTAAATTTTTTTTTAAGAGATAGGGTCTCTGTCACCAGGCTGGAATGCAAGCGGTGTGAACACGGCTCCCTGTACCTTCAACGTCCTGGGCTCAGGTGATCCTCCCACCTCAGCCTCCCAAACAGCTGGGACAATAGGTGTGCACCACCACGCCCAGCTAAGTTTTTCCTTCTCTTTTTTCTTCAGAGATGAGGTCTTGCTATGTTGCCCAGACTGGCCTAGTCAGGTTCTTTTTTATTATGATGATGATTTGAAACAGAGTCTCACTCTGTAGCCCAGGCTGGAGTGCAGTAGTGCCATCTCGGTTCACTGCAACCTCTGCCTCCCAGGTTCAAGCGATTCTTCTGCCTCAGCCACCAGAGTAGCTGGGATTATAGGCACATGCCACCATGCCCAGCTAATTTTTGTATTTTTAGTAGAGATGGGGTTTCACCATGTTGGCCAGACTGGTCTCGAATTCCTGACCTCAAGTGATCCTCCCACCTCAGCATCCCACAGTGCTGGAATTATGGGCGTGAGCCACTGTACCCATCCATTGTCAGCTTTTGGATGGCCTCTGTCCACACTCACTTTTATGAAAGCCACATGCACTCCAGCACAATGTGGCATTCCTTCAAACTATTATCTAAACAATTACCATTACATGCGTATTTCCAGGTAAAATGTTAAATGGATATAGAAACTTTAAAGGATATAAAGAGTGATTAAAATGTATTCTGTATTTCTTAAATTATAAAAGTAACAACATGACAAAACTTGGAAAACAGAAAAAGAAAAACAAGATTTAGTTTCAAGCATGGAACAGAATAATTGAGATGTTTTATTTTATTTTATTTTATTTTTTATTTTTATTTTTATTTTTTTTTGAGACGGAGTCTCGCTCTGTCGCCCAGGCTGGAGTGCAGTGGCCAGATCTCAGCTCACTGCAAGCTCCGCCTCTCGGGTTCACGCCCTTCTCCTGCCTCAGCCTCCCGAGTAGCTGGGACCACAGGCGCCGCCACCTCGCCCGGCTAATTTTTTGTGTTTTTAGTAGAGACGGGGTTTCGCTGTGTTAGCCAGGATGGTCTCGATCTCCTGACCTTGTGATCCGCCCGTCTCAGCCTCCCAAAGTGCTGGGATTACAGGCTTGAGCCACCGCGCCCGGCCGAGATGTTTTAAAATGCAGTTTAAGGCCAGGCACGATGACTTACACCTGTAATCCCAGCACTTTGGAAGGCTGAGGTAGGCAGATCATTTGAGGTCAGGAGTTCAAGACCAGCCTGGCCAACATGCTGAAACCTGTCTCTACTAAAAATACAAAAATTAACCAGGCATGGTGGTGGGCGCCTGTAGTCCCAGCTACTCAGGAGGCTGAGGCATGAGAATAGCTTGAACCCAGGAGGAGGAGGCTGAGATCTCAGTGAGCTGAGATTGTGCCATTGCACTCCAGCCTGGGGGACAAAGCAAGACTCCGTCTCAAAGGAAAAAAAAAATGCAGTTAAAAAATAAAACCTCTTGCAATAAAAGGCACCCTTTTTTGTCCAGGAATAACACAGAGAAGTTACTAGTTACTGAAGATGAAAAAGCACTAAGTGTAAGAGCTATAAATTTTGGAGTCAGAACTACATGTACTTTTTTGTTGTTGTTGTGTTGTTTTTTGAGACTGAGTCTTGCTCTGTCACCTAGGCTGGAGTGCAGTGGCGCGATCTTGGCTCACTGCAACATCTGCCTCCTGGGTTCAAGCAGTTCTCCTGCCTCAGCCTCCCGAGTAGCTGGGATTACAGGCGCCCACCACACCCAGCTAATTTTTGTATTTTTAGCAGAGACGGGGTTTCATCATGTTGGCCAGGCTGGTCTTGAGCTCCTGACCTTGTGAGCCACCTGCTTCGGCCTCCCAAAGTGCTGAGATTACAGGCATCAGCCACTGCGCCCAGCCACATGTACATATTTTATTGACAAAAACAGGCTAGAATTTGGTGCATTTAGCATCCTCCCTGGACAATAATTCTCCTCTGTTGACATCATGTCCAGGAGGGTTTGGCCCCCACCAGGAAACATTGCCCTGCTCCACAGGGCTTCGGGCTGACCAGCGGTGACACAGGCAGGCCGCGGAGCCCTCACCTGCTATCTCAATGCCTGATCCCGACAATGCAGCAGACTTTTCCAAACAGCTTGTCATGGTCTGTTTTCTTTCAGTAAGTGAAAGATTTTCACACTAAGGAAAGTTTGTAGGCAGACATTTAGAAGAAAATAATGAAAGTTTCTTATACCATATGTGACTATAAGGACACAGATATCCAGCCCTGACAATCCTGTATGAACAGTTCATCAGGTGCTGTTTTATTTCAGTAAACGAAAGACAAAAATCTTCTTCCTTTTTTTTTTTTTTTTTTTTTAATTGAGACAGAGTCTCGCTCTATCACCCAGGCTGGAATGCAGTGGTGCGGTCTCAGCTCATTGCAACCTCTGCCTCCCAGGTTCAAGCGATTCTCTCGCCTCAGCCTCCGGAGTAGCTGGGACTAAAGGTGTGGACCACCATGCCTGGCTAATATTTTGTACTTTAGTAGAGATGGGTTTTCACCATGTTGCTTAAGCTGGTCTCAAACTCCTGAGCTCAGGCAATCTGCCCACCGTGGCCTCCCAAAGTGCTGGGATTACAGGCGTGAGCCACCACGCCTGGCTTTCTTCCATTTTTAAAACACGAAGTCTTTGACATCAACACCTTGAGAACTGATGTTACAGATCAGCTCCAAAGCCTAACAGTGAAACAGACCCACCAGCCGACATGAATACAACTTTGACCATAATAAGATCCTTTTAGACTTTGCCCTCGGCTGCCCCCACCACTCGCTCTCTAACCAGTATCCTAACTGTTAGAATCATCCTCATAGATTTACCACTGTGTGTATACCCCTACACACTGCTCTGTAGTTTTGCTTGTCTTTTAACTTTCTGAAAACGACATTTTACTATCTGCTTTCTTATACTTCATGTTTGTGTCACTTAGCATATGTTTCTTGAATTCATCCATGCTGTGTGGGTTTCTGGCTCTTTGCAGAAACAGAGCTGCCATAAACATTCTTGTCAGGTCTCCTGGTTTCCATGCACAGGAGTTTCTCTAGGGTATACACCAAAAAGTGAAAATGCTAGGCAAAGTAGGCTATACGATTTATAAATTAAAATTAAATTAATCGCATTAAAATTAAATTAATTAAATTTTACATTTTTTTTCTAATTTTTCCTTTTTTTGTTGTTTGTTTGTTTGTTTGTTTTTTCAAGATGGAGTCTCACTCTGTCTCCCAGGCTGAAGTGCAATGGCATGTTCTCAGTTCACTGAAACCTCTGCCTCCTGGATTCAAGAGACTCTCTTGCCTCAGCCTCCCAAGTAGCTGGGATTACAGGAGCCTGCCACCATGCCCCACTAATTTTTGTGTTTTTAGTAGAGATGGCATTTTACCATGTTGGCCAGACTGGTCTCTTTTTTTTTTTTTTTTTTTTTTTTTTTTTTGAGACGGAGTCTCACTCTATCGCCCAGGCTGGAGCGCAGTGGCCAGATCTCAGCTCACTGCAAGCTCCGCCTCCCGGGTTTACGCCATTCTCCTGCCTCAGTCCCCCGAGTAGCTGGGACTACAGGCGCCTGCCACCTCGCCTGGCTAGTTTTTTGTATTTTTTTTTAGTAGAGACAGGGTTTCACCGTGTTAGCCAGGATGGTCTCGATCTCCTGACCTCGTGATCCGCCCGCCTCGGCCTCCCAAAGTGCTGGGATTACAGACTTGAGCCACCGCGCCCGGCCCAGACTGGTCTCAAACTCCTGACCTCAACTGATCCATCTTCCTCAGCCTCCCAAAGTGCTGGGATTATAGGCATGAGCCACTGCACCTGGTCTTTTGTTTGTTTGTTTCTTTGTTTGTTTGTTTTACAAGCGGGATCTCACTCTCTTGCCCAGGTTGGAGTCCAGTTGGCTCACTGGAGCCTCGACCTCCTAGGTTCAATCTATCCTCCCACCTAAGCTGCCCAAGTAACTGGGACTACAGGTGCATACCGCTATGCATAGCTAATTTTTTTTACTTTTTTGTCGAGATGAGGTTTCACTGTGTTGCCCAGGCTAGTCTTGAACTCCTGGCCTCAAGTGATCCACCTGCCTCAGCCTCCCAAAGTGTTGGGATTACAGGCATGAGAACCACTGCACCTGGCCTAAACATTTTTGTTTGTTTATTTTTTTTGAGACAAAGTCTTATTCTGTCACCTAGGCTGGAGTGCAGTGGCACGATCTCAGCTCACTGCAACCTCCACCTCCCAGGTTCAAGCAATTCTCCTGCCTCAGCCTCCTGAGTAGCTGGGATGACAAGGCGCCCGCCACCACGCCCCAGTAATTTTTTGTATTTTTACTAGAGACAGGGTTTCACTATGTTGGTCAGGCTGGTCTTGAACTCCTGACCTCGTGATTTGCCCGCCTCGGCCTCCCAGAGTGCTGGGATTACAGGCATGAGCCACCATGACTGGCCACCGGGCCAATTTTAACAATTTTAAATTTAAATGTTTAGGTCTGGGCGTGGTGGCTTATATATATATTTAAGCTCACTGGGTGCGGTGGCTCACATCTGTAATCCTAGCACTTTGGGAGGCCAAGGAAGGCAGATTGCCTGAGCTCAGGAGTTCGAAACCAGCCTGGGCAACACGGTGAAACCCCATCTCTACTAAAATACAAAAAATTAGCCAGGTGTGGTGATGTGCACCTGTAGTACCAGCTACACAGGAGGCTGAGGCAGGAGAGTTGCTTGAACCCAGGAGGCAGAGGTTGCAGTGAGCTGAGATGGCACCACTGCACTCCAGCCTGGGCGACAGAGCAAGTCTGTCTCAAAAAAAAAAAAAAAACAAAAACAAAAAACTCCCTGATAAAATATCAGGGATTTCTGGACAGCAACAGCAGCATTGCATTAAACCAGGTGCAGGCCCCATAGGACCACACAGGTGTGCAGCCACAAGGCCAGTCTGCACTGAGTCCTGAGTCTTCTTTCCCACTTGTCTAGGTCGTGCGTCGGCTTGTACCCAATGTCAGTGCTCACAGCATTTCTATTGTTTCTCATCCTCACCACCACTTGGGACCATCCAACTTTTAAATTTTTGTCAATGTAATGAATGTAAAATAGCATCGTGTTGTGGTTTCAATAGGTACTTCCTTGGTTACCCAAGAGGGTGAGCAGTTGGTGAGTGTGTTGGCTGTGGGTGGCTTCTTTTTCTTTTTAAGTAATGATGAGTTCTTATTTGTTACTCAGGCTGGCCTCAAACTCCTGAGCTCAAGCAGTCCTCTCACCTTGGACTCCAAAGTGCTGGAATTACAGGCGTGAGCCACCATACCCAGCTGACCTTTTTTTTTTTTTTTTTTCTTGAGACAGAGTCTTGCTCTGTCGCCCAGGCTGGAGTGCAGTGGCGAGATCTTGGCTCACTGCAACCTCCGCCTCCTGAGTTCAAGTGATTCTCCTGCCTTGGCCTCCCAAGTAGCTGGGACTATAGGTGCCCACCACCTCGCCTGGCTAGTTTTTGTATTTTTAATAGAGATGGGTTTTCACCATGTAGGCTGGTCTTGAACTCCTGATCTCAAGTGACCTTCCTGTCTTGGCCTCCCAAAGTGCTGGGATTACAGGCGTGAGCCACCGCGCCCGGCCGACTTTTATTTTTTAAGATCAGAGGACAGAGTTGTCTCTAGGTCTGTTCCTGCCCCTAAAAAACCACGTGGGTATGGGTGGGTCACCCTCCTCCTGGGGCCTCATTTTTCTCATCTGAACAATAGAGATACACCGTTTTCTTTCTTTCTCTCTGTCTCTCTCTCTCTCTCATTTTCTCTCTTTCTTCATCTTTTTTTGAGAGAGTCTCAAACTTAATCTTAAATTTGTCTGTCACCCAGGCTGGAGTGCAGTGGCTCAACCATGGTTTACTGTGGCCTCGTGAACCTGGGCTTAGGTGATCCTCCCACCTCAACCTCCCAGGTAGGTGAGACTACAGGCACACACCATCACACCCAGCTAATTTTTTTTTTTTTTTAATTGAGACGGGGTTTTGCCATGTTGCCCAGGCTGGTCTCGAATTCCTGGTGAAATCGCTTTACAAATTTATGACTGAGATAGTGAGACAGATCTAACTTAACCGACTCCATCTTGCTTCTAACCTCCAAGCTGTCCTTGATCATTCCGGCTGAACTAACTTTGGGAGAAACTTAGTTTATAGTTTATAATTTAAACAAAGATGGTAAAGGCAGTAACAGCCCTTTCCCAAAGCAGACCTCCTTCTTGCCTGGTGACTAGATTACCTTTGTAGGACTCACATTCGCCACAGATTAGAAATTATGGTTTAGGATTCATGCAGCTGGAGGTTACAAGATTCTAACCCCTCCCTAAACTGCTCCTAAAATCAGTGCTTGAGATATTTTGCAGACCGTGTACTTGATGAATCAGCTAGTACCACCCAGATCAATAAACTGGCTCATCTGATCTTGTGGCCCCTACCCAGGAACTGACTCAGCACAAGAAGACAGCTTTAGCTCCCTATGATTTCATCTCTGACCAGTCAGCAGTCCGGGCTCACTGGCTTCCCCCCACCCACCAAGTTATCCTTAAAAACTCCGCTCCCGGAATGCTTAGGGAGACTGATTTGAGTTATAATAAAACTCTGGTCTCCCGCACAGCCAGCCCTGCATGGATTACCCTTTCTCTATTGCAATTCCCCTGTCTTGATGAGTCGGCTCTGTCTAGGCAGTGGGCAAGGTTAACCCCTTGGACGGTAACCCAAGGCGATCCTCCTGCCTTGGCCTTGTTTTTTTATTTCTTTATGTACCTGTCTACCATTGGATTATAATCCCTTCAGGTCAGGGCCCATGTTCTCATCATCTTCGGTATCCTTAGCACAGGGCTGGGTCCCAGAGTAGATGTCCACATGACTCTGTTGTGTCTATTGAATGAAGGATGTAATTCACTAAGTTGATCTGTCAGCATCAACAAAGGCAGGATGGGGAGGAAGCTCCCATGTGCAAGGCAGGGCAGGCAGAGGGGCAGAAGGGAAAAACCTGGCTCAAGGCTCGGCTCTGCCAACTTCGGCAACCTTGGGCAAGGGACCTTCCCCTCATCTGCAGGTGGGGATGCTGACATCGAATAGATGCAGACATGGTGGCTGCTCTTTCCACTTGTCAATGAAAAGAGTTGAACTCTGCAAAATATTTGAAAAGATTTATTCTGAGCCAAATATGAGTGACCTTGGCCCACGACACAGCCCTCAGGAGGTTTTGAGAACATGTGCCCAAGGTGGTTGGAGCGCAGCTTGGTTTTATACATTTTAGAGAGGCATGAGGCATCAATCAAATACATTTAAGAAATACATTGGTTTGGTCCAGAAAGGTGGGACAACTCAAAGATGCGGGGGGGGGGCTCTTCCGAGCAATAGGTGAATTAAAAAAATTTCTGATTGATAATTGGTTGAGTTTGTCTAAAAACCTGGGATTCATAGAAAGGGAATGTTGAGGCCGAGCGTGGTGGTTCACGCCTGAAATCCCAGCACTTTGGCAGGCCAAGGCGGACAGATCACAAAGTCAGGAGATCGAGACCATCCTGGCTAACACGGTGAAACCCTGTCTCTACTAAAAATAAAAAAATTAGCCAGGCGTGGTGGCGGGCACCTGTAGTCCCAGCTACTCAGGAGGCTGAGGCAGGAGAATGGCGTGAACCTGGGAGGTGGAGCTTGCAGTGAGCTGAGATTGCGTCACTGCACTCCAGCCTGGGTGACAGAGCGAGACTCCGTCTCAAAAGAAAAAAAAAAAAAAGGGAATGTTCGGGTTAAGATAAAGATTGTGGAGACCAAAGTTCTTTTGAAGTCTTATAGTGGCTGCCCTTAGAGACAATAGATGACAAATGTTTCCTATTCAGATCTTAATCTCTCTCTTTTTTTTTTTTTTTTTTGAGACAAAGTCTTGCTCTTTTCCCCCGGGCTGGAGTGCAATGGCACAATCTCAGCTCACTGCAACCTCTGCCTCTCCAGTTCAAGCGATTCTCCTGCCTCAGCCTCCCGAGTATCTGGGATTACAGGTGCGTACCACCATGCCTGGCTAATTTTTTTGTATTTTAAATAGAGACGGGGTTTCACCATGTTGGCCAGGCTGATCTCGAACTCCTGACCTCAGGTGATCCGCGTGCCTCAGCCTCCCAAAGTGCTAGGATTATAGGTGTGAGCCACCAGGCCTGGCCTCAGATCTTAGTTCTTAGTTAATCTTTTTTTTTTTTTTTTTTTTTTGAGACGGAGTCTCGCTCTGCCGCCCAGGCTGGAGTGCAGTGGCCGGATCTCAGCTCACTGCAAGCTCTGCCTCCCGGGTTCACGCCATTCTCCTGCCTCAGCCTCCCAAGTAGCTGGGACTACAGGCGCCCACCACCTCGCTAGTTTTTTGTATTTTTTAGTAGAGACGGGGTTTCACCGTGTCAGCCAGGATGGTCTCGATCTCCTGACCTCGTGATCCGCCCGTCTCGGCCTCCCAAAGTGCTGGGATTACAGGCTTGAGCCACCGCGCCCGGCCTACTTAGTTAATCTCTTTAGGATTGGGAGGTTCTGGAATAAAAAGATCTAGGTATATTAATAGAGATCTTTTTTTTTTTGGAGACGGAATTTTGCTCTTGTTGCCTAGGCTGGAGTGCAGTGGTGTGATCTCAGCTCACTGCAACTTCCACCTCCTGGGTTCAAGTGATTCTTCTGCCTCAGCCTCCTGAGTAGCTGGGATTATAGGCATGTGCCATGATGCCTGGCTAATTTTTGTGTTTTTAGTAGAGATGGGGTTTTACCACATTGGTCAGGCAGGTCTGGAACTCCCGACCTCAGGTGATCCACTTGCCTTGGCTTCGCAAAGTGCTGGGATTACAGGTGTAAGCCACCACGCCGGACCAAGATTCTTTACAGATGCAAATTTTCTACCTCAAAGAACAGCTTTGCAGGGTCATTTCAAAATATGGCAAAGATACATGTTTTGGGGTAAAATATTTTTATTTGCTTCCTTGTCTCATAATCCTATGCCAGAGTCAGGCTGGAAAATAAGTCATGATACACAGGGTTAAATAAAACCCCTCTGATGAGAATTTGTGGTTTGTAGGGCTTGACTCCCCAGACCCCTTAGATAGGAGATTGGGCAAGATAAAAAAAATCAGAGTTTAGTCCTCACACTCAACCTCTGAAGTTCTCAGGTGCATTGCACAGGCCCAACCTTGAGGGTCACACCTCTCTGAGCCCCAGGTCTTTTCTTTGTCAACAAGGCAGGGTGACCCCCAGCAACTCCCTACCAATGGGCCACAGAGCTGCCAGGTAGAAGGGTCACAGGAAGAAAAGGTAAATCCCATCAAGCTAGAGCTCTGGCTGAGATGGTCCACATATTTTTCCCCACTGTTTTTCTTTTCTTTCTTTCTTTTTTTTTTTTTTAACTAAGATACAATTTACAGGACACTGTATTTCAGGGTTGAGCATCTGAGACCTGTGTGTGATAAGCTCAGGGACACGAACATGACAAATGATTAGAAATTGCCATGTTCCTTCCCCTTCTCCCTAACTCACCAATGCCCTAACATAGGCATTGCTGAGATACTTCATACTTCAACTGTGCTGCTGAGTGACCCTCGTAAAGCAAGAGCCAGGGGTTGCCAGCCCCAGTGACCTTTGGTGGGTGAGGACCACATCTCCAGCTGCCTCCTGGACAATGTCCCTTGAAAATCACATGGATAAGGCCAGGTGTGGTGGCTCATCGCCTATAATCTCAGCACTTTGGGAGGCCAAGGCAGGAGGATCACTTGAGCCGAGGAGGCTGAGGCTGCAGTAGACTGTGATTACGAGACCGTGACTCAAAACAAAACAAAAAACATGTATTTGAGGGCCGGCTGCGGAGGCTCATGCCTATAATCCCAGGTGGTGATTATGTAATCCCAGGTGGTGATTATGTAATCGCAGGTGGATCACCTGAGGTTAGGAGTTTGAGACCAGCCTGGCCAACATGGTGAAACCTCGTCTCTACCAAAAAATACAAAAATTAGCTGGGCGTGGTGGCGTATGCTACCCAGTCTTAGCCGCTGGGGAGGCTGAGGTGGGAGAAATACTTGAACTTGGGAGGTGGAGGTTGCAGTGAGCCAAAATCGTACCACTGCATTTCAGCCTGGGTGACAGATCGAGGCCCTGTCTCAAAATAAATACATAAATAAATAAATAAATAAATAAATAAATAAAGTGATATTTGTGCTTTTTTTTTAAAGACAGGATCTCTCTCTGTTTCCCAGGCTTGAGTGCAGTGACCCACTCATAGCTCAGTGCAGCCTCCAAATCCTAGGCACAAGCAATGGGGGCATTCTTGGGCGCACAGGGAAGAACTCTGGCTGGCTCTTGGAGGTGGCATGGAAAGGGTGGCTGAGGACGTTCATGCTGTGCTTTATGTGCCTTGCATTACTGAATTTGTAAAAATGAGCATGAAATGTTTTTGTACTTAAAAAAAATCGTAAAGTAGAAAGAAAAGAAACCTTTTCGGAAACCAGATGGAGACAGTGAGCTGAGGAAGAGGCTGAGGGCTACTTGCCACAGACAGGCCAGGTGAGCAGCAGGCAGGGCAGAATAGATGGGGACAGAGTGGAGGGCTGGGTTGCTAAGTATTTAAGACACTCCTCGCCTGGCGTGGTCCCTCAAACCTGTAATCCCAGCACTTTGGAAGGCCGAGGAGGGCGGATCACCTAATGTCAGGAGCTGAAGACCAGCCTGGCCAACATGGCAAAACCCTGTCTCTACTAAAAAATGCAAAAATTAGCCCAGCATGGTGGTGGCCACCTGTAGTCCCAGCTACTAGGGAGGCTGAGGCAGGGAGATTGCTTGAACCCAGGAGGTGGAGGTTGCAGTGAGCCGAGATCACGCCACTGCACTTTAGGCTGGGTGAGAGAGGGAGACACTGTCTCAAAAAAAAAAAACAAAAAAAAAACCCTCTTCCTCCACATTTGTCTCCTCTCTTCCTCCTCCATCCCTTTCCTTGGAGATGGCAACGTGGCTGGAAGCTGAGGAGGCAGCTGGTGTGGATAAAAAATCAAGCAAATATATTGAGGATAATGGGAGCCAGGTTTCTCACTGCTGGAGATGAGAATTACTAATATGGAAAGAGGGAAGGCTGAAAAGAGCCCTGAGGCATTGGAGATGTCAGTGTGGACTCTTCACACATGAGTATATAAAGATATGGGAGCCAGCTTGAAGGGGCTCTCATTGGCCAAGTCTAGGACAATTGGAGCATCCAAATAAAAATGACCAGATGGCCAGGTGCACTGGCTCACACCTGTGCTCCCAGGACTCTGGGAGGCCAAGACAGGAGGATCGTTTGGGCCAGGAGTTCAAGACCAGCCTGGGTAACATAGGGAGATCCTGTCTCTACAAGAAATATATATATTTTTTAATTAGGTGTGGTGGCATGTGCTTGTAGTCCCAGTTACTCAGGAGACTGAGGCACGAAAATCACCTGAGCCTAGGAGATAGAGGTTGCAGTAGAGCAAGACTCTGTCTCAAAACACAAAAGAGAGAGAGAGAGAGAGACTACAAACTACTGCATAATATAGGCGTCCATGAGTCGGTGCTGATTGAAGCTAAGGGAAGGCTTTTCCTTACAGGACAGTGCCAATCCATGAATGGAGAGGGGTGATGTAAATAGATAAACCACCACTTGGTAAGTATCATTCTGATAGGCTGATTCAAGCAGGAGGATTACAGACCTAGGGAGGCTCCGGCTGGTGGGTACAGAGTGGATGAGGTACAGAATATTGCAAAATACGGCTGGGCGCAGTGGCTCACGCCTATAATCTCAGCACTTTGGGAGGCCAAGGTGGGCGAATCACTTGGGATTAGAAGTTCAAGACCAGCCTGGCCAACATGGTAAAATCCCGTCTCTATTAAAAACACAAAAATTAGCTGGGTGTGGTGGTGGGCGCCTATAATCTCAGCTACTTGGGAGGCTGAGGCAGGAGAATCACTTGAACCCAGGAGGCAGAGGTTGCAGTGCGCCAAGATCGAGCCACTGCATTCCAGCCTGGGTGACAAGCGCGAGACTCTGTCTCAAAAAAAAGGAAAAAAAATCTCCTGGCCACACACAGTGGCTCACGCCTGTAATCCCAGCACTTTGGGAGGCCGAGGTAGGTTGATCACAAGGTCAGGAGATCGAGACCATCCTGGCCAACATGGTGAAACCCCATCTCTACTAAAAATACAAAAATCAGCTGGTTGTAGTGGCGCCTGCCTGTAATCCCAGCTACTTGGGAGGCTGAGGCAGGAGAATTGCTTGAACCAGGGAGTCGGAGGTTGTGGTGAGCTGAGATCGCGCCACTGCATTCCAGCCTGGCAACAGAGCGAGACTCCATCTAAAAAAAAAAAAAAAAAAAAAAAAAAAAAATCTCCTCCCACACACAGGTCTCCTGCCAAGCTCCCATCAGGAGGAGAGTCTGGTTTCCCTCCTTGAATCTGAGCAGACGGCAGGGACTTGGCCATAACCAATACAACATGGCGAAAATGATATTGTGTGACTTCCAAGGCCAGGTCAGAAGACTTTGCAGCTTTGGCCTTTGTCTCTTGGAGCTCTTCTCTCTTGACAGGTTCCCTCTCAGAGCTGTGCCACCATGCTGCCCATATCCCAAGTCACAAGGAGAGGCCACATGATGGTGGCTCCAGCAAATAATCCCTGCTGAACCTTTCCTTCCGCCACCCAACCCAGGAGCCATCAGGGAAATGGACGCCCCATCCACCAGCCATGGGAGCCACTTCTGGCAGTTGAAGTCACTTCAGTGGAGGGCCAGGCATCATGGAGCAGAGAGAAGCTGGACCTGCTGTGTCTTGCCTGAAGTCCTAGCCCACAGAGCTCACAGGCACAATAAAATGGTTTTGGGGCCGGGCGCGGTGGCTCAAGCCTGTAATCCCAGCACTTTGGGAGGCCGAGACGGGCGGATCACGAGG